ATTACGAAACTTCCGTTTCCTCATCACAATTTTATTATATTTATTGTTTCCAAATTTTTATTCCGATATTAGCAACGGATATTTGTACTTGTAGGTCAACCAAACAACGCTAATTCAAAACATTTCGAAATTTCGTAGACTCGACAACGTCGCTCATACTTACACGAATTATATTTATTATACATATACCTACAAGAAAACACGGCCATATATATTATGTCGTGCTTTTTAAATAAGATAAGTAAAATAACGCGACATATATTTCTAAAGTAAACACCCGAGGTTCTCACAAAGACTTCGTCTCTTTTAATATCCAGAACATGCGAGGCCTTGATAACCGATCAGACGGCAAATATTTGCCGAGATTACGCTGAAAATGCGATTTTTCACCACGAAATTTCACCGGACAAAGGGAAATAGTGCACAATAATATTTTACAATCTCGTTGAGAGAACTTATTAACTGTAATTTCATCGACGATACAAAAAAAATAGTGGGTTGTCGATGATAATCGCGTAACAAACAACAACCTACAAGATTTTCAAACAAATTTGAAAACACCCAATCCGGAATGTAAGTATCCTCATTTAAAATAATTTAGAAAGCTATTTTATCGGTACGAGCACCTACGGTTCTTCTTTCTCCAGTCGAAATTTCGATTGTTATTATAGAACAATCAAAATTACTAAACCATAAAAACGCACTCAAAATTGTTAATTCCAATACAACAGCAGGTTAAATTGACTTTTATTATACCACTTTACAGTAGAAAAATAGATAAGATTTTTAGTGCAGATTTTCTGCAATGAATCTTCTCGAATCGCAAAGGAATGAAAGGTAATTTCAGTTGCAGGAATTCGATTTACATACGTATCTGCAGTAAAATAGCTGCGTATCGAAGCGAAAGGACGCAATTTCTTCGCATTTATACGCTTGTTATCATTTTCCCGAAGAAATACCAATCCAATGTGGACGTTTATTAAAACGGCTAATCGAAGAAACGCGTACGCAATTATTATTACCGATCGTTCGGAAACTATTCGAATAGAACTCGCCAGGCACGCGAGGAATTTCGTCCTAGATTGACCAAGGTGAATGCCTAGCAATTCGACTCGAAAGTTGCCGGATTTTTTCCATTCCACCCGTCGGTTTATCCCCGAATTCCGTCGAAATCCCGTCGAAGCGGCAACGTCGCTTTACAAATGGCCTCTGCTTAGTCGCACGAGAGCCAGATGATAGAACACTCTGACCAAGACCGAACGTCCGTGACCTTCCTTCCTCGTCTTCCACCTCCTGGACCCCCGCCCTGCTGTTACTATCGCGTAGCATCTTCAGGAGCGCAGGCGAAGACGTCGAGGAAGGTGCCTAGATTCTTTATTAACCGGAATACTAATTCTTCTAAATGCGATATTTTAAGAACGAAGCATATTGTATAAAAAAATTGCTTTTTCTAAATACCAGCGGTTGATATTTGAGATCAAGTACCTGTAGAAAAGTAATTTGTGTTTAAGTCCGTTTAAGGAGAGTAAAAGTCCGGTAAATTAATTGGATCGAGCCGAACGTTGGTAATTACAAAATTGCGTTTCAATTAAGCCTCTCTGCGAGGTGTCGCAATGGCTTTTATACGAACGGTATTTTTTTATTATTCAATTTGACCATAAACAAGCGCATTTCGAAACCGAATTCTACGGTAATAATCGACGAAAAGCGCGGAGTATTCGTTTTCTGTTTTAGTGAAAAGGTTAATAGTTGTATCAGACCCGATGTGTGGTTGCTATTCCGTTCCACGAATTTATTAAAACCAGCCGCATTTCTCGTTGTATCGTCGAAATACGAGCGGTTTTTTCTGTATATACGCGCGTATATGAAGTATTGTTGGCTCGCCACATAATTAAAATAATAACGAGCAAGACTTTTATAACACCAAAACCGCTTTGTTACCTGAGGAATAGCATCAGGTCCATAAACTACACGGGCAACCGACGACTTATATGCCGCTGTTAACAATATTACAGTGAGGTGCTGATTTTATTTTAAAACACAACAAGAGTTACGATTTGAGTTGTTTTTTTGCTTCGGAGTACGTGCTGAAATCATACACAAAATTGTTGTAGTCTCACAGAAATTGGATCTTCATACGCGTTGATGATGGTTCTCTAAAAGTTTGAGAGGAAAAAATTTTGCCATCTTCAAGCCTAACGAAAAATACTTTCTGTTTATCACTAGCTGCTTATCTTTACACAAAGCGTACTCAACATCTTTACCATCATCAGTATCATCAATAGAATCTCTAGTAGCTCCCATGTTTTCACAAATTTTGTGGTTTTTCCACGCGCCAACAAGCGCCCTAATCATAATTTCCACAATTCGATGTCCGACGTTTTGTTAACACGCCCGTTTTGTTTTTCAGGTAAGCTGACCGAATTTTATCGGGAAGGAGATCAAGAAGGCCGGCCACCCGAGCCAACTGCGATCCATAAAGTTTACCACGAAACCTTCCACTCGGTGACTTTGATGTATGGAAATGCAGCGCCCCAGCTGGTAACCTTTTATTCTTTTAAGCATATTCGCCCGAAACGGCCGTCGTGTTTATATTAATTAACATTAGTTTACATGTATTTTTTTGTGGGAACTACGACTTCTCGGAATTCACCTAATGCACTAAACAAAAATGTCGTGCATAATTAGGTATTATTAATTATGTAAAAGGCAAATAAGAAACGTTAATATTTATTTTTTTGTATATTTTATTAGTTGTAAGAATTCTTCATTAAGTCGAATTTATTGGTTCGATTTCGGTGCTGTAATCGTAAAATTTTTAATTCGATATAAATAAATTATTAACAGCGATATTATACCGAATCGAAGTGGAAACGTTTGTCAGGAATGTGGTTTCTAGAGCAATTAACAGCGCCATATAAACTGAACTATAACGTTTAAACTAAATGAAGAATTTTCCATCATCTCCACAGTGTTATTTCCTTAGCGTTAAACTAATTATTCTTCCAAACAGCCATTAATATTGTTCACGAAGGAATGTTAGATACGAAAATTCTTCGATACTCGCTTATATGCACCGGCGATTCCACTATATACCTCGCTGGATAATGAAGAAGAAGAAAACAATCCAGCGGCGTTTCCACCAATTCTACTCACAATTAATTCAAGGATCTTCTTCTAGAGACTACACGCAATAAAGGTACGTTTATCAATTTAAACTTACTGTATACGATTCAACTATAATCCATCTTAAACTCGGATAATTCGTCGAGTATTTAGTACATTTCGAACCCCTTTCGTTTATTGATCGCCGTATAATTTCGATCCTCGATCACGCACAGCCGTGATCTTCGTGACCATTCGATCCAGATAGAGCCAGATATCGGCCCGCCATCGTGACTCTGAGCTATATGCAGCCCAGCCGCCTATCTGCCGTCGCTATCTCAGTACGCTGAGGAACAAAGAACGCCACAAGACAATGCCGGAGCGCGATTTAATGAGAATCGCGGAAAAATTAAGCTTTTTTTAACCCGGTATTTCCGATCGATTGCTACAAGTCGCGCTAGCGAGTAGGAATGTTTGGTTTTTGATAAAATAAAAACGCGCACGCCTGATGATGTATATACCAATAAAGCAGAAACGTCGGGTCGTAAAAATGGTTGTTAACGTCGATGATAGGAATCGGATTTGATGTATTCAAATGCCTGAGATTGGAGACGGTGATTTTTTGGTTTTCACATTCTTAATCTGCGGGAATGCTCGTTGGGGAATTAAAAATGGGAACCTGTTTCGGAAGATAACTGCAGTCATTTGATGATAAAAAATTCATCGGGTGATTTGTTTCGTCTATTAGGTCGAATTCTTCGGGTTGATAAAATTTATCCTTTCGGTCATAAACTAGTGAGATTCCAAAAAAAAAACATCTGGAATCAATCATTTTATTCAAATTAATTGGCAACAAACGAAAATAACGCCAAATTAACCCAACAGGTGTTCCTTAATGAGCGTAACCGAAGAATTTGTATTTGAAAAGGCGCAATAAAATACGGTGTTAGCAAGCTTAATACCTGTCAGTAATCACTAATCACTAAATAGCGATCTAGGAAATTTTTCAGAACGTTATACGAACAAAAACCCGTTCAGATATCTCCACGCTCTCATCTCATCTAAATAATACAAAAAAAAAATCGATTCGAATCCGCGTTGAAATAACGAATTTTCCAACGCAATTGTTATCGCTCGATAATTAATTACAAAACCGGCCTACAACTTAATGAAAATCGCGCCAATTTAACGACTCGAACCGCCTGGAAATGAAGCGATTTCTTTTCAAAACCAAAAATCGGGCTCGTTAATGTTAATGTTAATACGTGGAATTGATAATGTGACGAAGGCGACCACCAGAACGGGAAAGGAAAATATGAGATGCGACCTTGCGCCGTACCGCTGTCACTCCGGCTCCTAGTACCGGTGGTACCGAAAAACCCCACTCATCCCGACTTGATCTCGCCTTTAAATTACCCCGCTTTACCTACAAAAATTAATATCTCTCGCCTATCTCTATCGTCAAGTTCTAAACAATGTTCCTATAGTACCTAAGTACCAAAAGAACTGAAAATTATTTTAACGTTCCTTATCTTATATTAACTACGAATACAGTAAGTTATATCATAGTAGTATCTGAGTTATATTGCATATAAATAGAATATTAATAAAAAAATGATGTAATTGATGGTACCTCGGGTACTATGAGAATTGGAATGCATACATATCTAACACATCATTTGACCGTTCGGTCGCAAGAACTGAACTTTTTCCACGACTCCGTTCTATAATTCATGAACGTCGACACAGCTCCGACAACTGTCCGGAATTAGATCAGGAAAAAACGGGATACATTAAATTATGACAAAAGACCCTTATCCATATGTATGCGTTACAATCCGTTTTCTATCAGATATCACGTGCTGCAGCACAGCATCTCAGATGTTTACAATCCGCAGCAACGTCGACTCGAGAAGTCGACTTGTGTACCTGTACAGGTAAAAGGTGGTACCCGAGCGGGTTCGAGAGTACCCAACATATCGAGCGGACCAGTCGACTGTGTAACGGGGTACGATCTGCGCGCGCTCATTCGCCGTTTGTTTCACTTTTTCTTGTTGTATTTTCCAGTGGAAAACTGATTATTTTCGTGAAGTGTTAGGATTTCGTACAGGAACTGTTTCAAAAGGTATGCATTTTTATGTACGAGCTCGTTTTAAGTACCCATAAGGTACTGTTTTAAGATTGCTTTTTGACCAATTTTTGATTGGTATATCAATATAAAGAATTTTGTTTACAAATGTTTGGTACATTTATTACCGGAATATCCACCATAATTTAAATCGTTTTAATTCTTTAATGTAGGAATCTAACGTATTAAAAATACATCTAGGTCGCGCTGAATTCCGGTAGGCGTTCGATTAGAAAAAAACGATTAAATAATTATGCCTACTTGCGATTCGTTTCTAATGCTGATGAAAATTATTTTGTATTTATATAAAATTGTAAGTAGGTGTTCGAATTTCGTTCGCCTTCCCACACGCGAAGGTAAACCGTTTACGTGGTGCAGATATTACCTAAAGATTGCTCGGCGTAATTAGATATTATTAATAAAACTATCGGAAAACGTGGAGTGTACGAAAACGGATTTAATTGCGAAATTACTAGCTCTTTTGCGGCGCGCAGGAAGTTAAATATTTATCGATTATACATTAAAAAAAGTGCAATTACAATTCAATCGTAAATGCTCTTTATTACACACATTCCAATAAAAGAAAGAATCGGTTAAAATATTAATTTTCATTCAACCTTAGGAATTCTACGCGAATTCTAATCGAATTACCAAGGTAAACTTTGCCATTTTCGAACAACATTTCTCGTGCATTTGTAAAAATTTCCAATAAAATCGACATTTCGAAATACAATTCTCGTTCGCTTATTATCATTTTCATATTCCTGGAAAGATTTACCAACGTCTTAAATTATAAATTACACCAGGTTTAGAAATTCGTAGAGTCATTAACACCGCCAACGCTGATAACGCGACATATTTGCATTGTTCTTGATAATTCCGCCACACGAAATCGAGTTTGTACACTTGTTGCACCGGCTCGAATAATCGCGGAAACGTGCCATAAACATTCTCTCTACCGTTACGCAATGGGGTCGTAGAAAAAGTACAATATTGTATCTCAACTTCCCACTTCAAATGCACACCTGCGATGGGTATTTTCGTGGTCGATTTACATACGTGTGTCTTACCCTTGTCGGATTGTCGAGGAACGCTTATGCAAGAAGAGCTTGTCTCTGTCATATTCGTTCGTTAGGGGGACGTTCTTCATCTTTGTTGCGGCACGTGGACGTTAGAAATCCCACTACGTTGTTTGGTACAATATTCACGTTTATAAACTAATAAAAATTTGGGTTATTAATGAAATTAATGTAGTATCTTATGATAGTTTGTGTACAATTATCGGTCTAATTAATCGAGCGACTCGATGTTAATTTGTGTTGTTGTGGTGTTATGGACCAAACGACGCTTTTCGAACCATCTTCGATGGTCTAGGGGCCCGTCTTCGGGGAGTGTGGGTTGTCGTTCGAGGCCCGTAGGAGCCGAGAGTTTCGAACCAGAAGAGAAATTACACGGTTCGCCTACTTGACTTGTTGCGTCACTAGTTTCTAGTACGTTCTTTCCACCTTTATACGAGGAAAATCGGCACGAAATGCCCGACAATAACGAAGCGCAAAAAAAAACGTATAAAACAATTTCGGCGCGTCCAATTTAACCGGAGCTTACATATATCTACGTCGAATCGCCGAAAAGGGTTCCAGTATTGTATTTCTTCGGACGGATTCCGAACGAAAACATCGCCAGGAATTTATTTATAATAGCGCAACGCATTACCCCCCGAAGGCATCGGAAAGCGGCTCCTCGTATTCCGACGATATCGGGTTAAAAACAAAGAATTTAGCGAATACCGCCATTGTGAGCGGCGGTAATTGCACTAAATAAATAATTGCCGTTGGAAATCTGAAGGAAAAATATGTACGTCGAGCGCTGGCATGCCGACAGAGGTCTCTTTGTCGCTGCAAAACCTATATAAACGTGAATTATTTCGATGAGTTTTATAAAGCTTTTATATGAGATTATGAAGTCGCTTCTAAATTGGTTTCGATCAAAAATAAAGTAGCGCTATTATACAGAAATCATAAAGGGTACATTTCAAATTGTTCTGAACTTTACTAGTTAATCCTAAACCATTTCAAATAGTCTTGAGCCCCTTCTAAATTATTTTGAACTGTTTCAAATGATCCTGGTCAATTCTAAACGATTCTAAAACTGTCTTGAATAATCTTTTTCATTCTCTTTTGGCACTTCTCTTATTCCTATTGCCCAATTGAGTACTGAAACAGAAACACGATCCAAAACCAAACCTATACCCAGTGTAAAAGTATCGCCTCGGTCCATCCACCTGCTAATAAAAACAGTTATTATTTACAAAAATGTAGGTAACATGTCCACTCGTCGACACAATAGAATTTAAGCCTCTTTTTATAACCGCTGCCTAACCCGGCGATTGTCTTCTCCCCTCAGAGTCAGGTATATCGGAGATTTCCAATCGTCCATCGCCAGTCTTGGAGATTTTTAGCACCGGCCGAAGCGCCCGCGAATCGGCTGATCCTCCACGAGGAAGGTGTACTAATTGTTGGCTCGTTTTATGGCTAGGAGACCGTCGGCGCCACGCCGATCAAAGGTCCCGTGTAATTAAGTACCCCCTTTATGGTAATCAGAAGGGGGGAAGAGGACCGATTAATTTAAAAATTAGCGCGCGAGAGAGCGCTGGGATTATTCGATGCGATTTTAATGGAATCGGTTTCCATAAAAGCGGAATCGCTCCGAAAATCTGGTGCTATCGATGAGATATCGCGATGCGGATTCGTCGCTTCGGGCCGGGACGAAGACAGATGTAAACAGGACTTTTTCTTGTTCGAGCGGTTGTCGCCGCATAATGTAAACGATTCCGATCGATGTAAAACCGCGATAGTATTGTTTTTGACGGGGCGAATCGATATTAAACGGCGGTAAAAAATCCGCTCCGAATAACGACGTCTCCGGACGTGTTTTATATCGCATCAGTACTAAGTACTACACAACTCGGAGCGTCAACAGGTCGGGGAAAAAATAAATATAATACGGCAAATATGTGACATTCGTGCTAAGAGAACGATTGTGTGTTTAGTGGATTCTTCTGTACATTAGAACGACAAATATATTTCTTGGAAAATAAGTAAAGAAATATGCTTGTGTACTCGTTTTGAGATAGCCTAATTAAAACAGCGCGGCAAACAAATTGTATTTAATCATTTAATCCGTGCATGCACGAAACAATTACTGTATTAACATAAAGATTAGCGCATAGAAAAATATCGTTATTCTCTTAAAAAAAACGTTAGCGAATTGTTGAAGCGTCGCCGGAGTTTCAAGGAAAACTAGCTAAAATATTTATCTATATACATATTACATATTTCTTATTATTCATCTGAGATGTTTGAATGGGGAAATAATTAGATAAATGAAAATTGTGTGCATAGTATTCGATTTTTTCGTACCGCTAATTAATTAATTACGAAACCAACGATATAAAATGTAACGATGAAACAATGGCTGTGAAATTTTTCCCGTGCGAATTTAGGTAAATAGGCCTGATTGAAAAACAAAACCAGCACGTGAAAATTCCAGTTACAATCGCCGTTAGAAATTAGCGTGTTATTGTGTAACAAGTTACAATTTAAAAAATTTCTGCATATAATACATTATTTTTTCGAACGTACAAATTTCCCCTAATTATGCTAATAAACATGTTTCGTCCCCCGAAGACAATAATTATGATGTTCTCGGTGCATTTTCGGACGCGCTGATTTTAAATTGCGAAAACCCGAACCTCGGGGTGAAAAAAGATCGCTCGCGAGATGGGAGAACTAAAACACAATGCGCGCCCGATAATTTGGAATATCGTGGTTGTTTCGAAACACCCACGGCCACTATGCAACTGAAATATCGCGTTACATTACTGAAATGCACTTCGAGGAAATCCATACGCCGGTGAAATATAATTCATTTTGTTTTATTATGTACGCATGTGCTTTATTTACAACCTGTTCTCTCCGGCGCATCTAGATATTTTCGAAGATTTTAGAACTCGAAGACGTGAAGCCATTAAGAAGACAGATGTATTACTAGATTAGAAATGAAATGGTTTATACGTAGACAAAAAGAAATAGCGGGCCAGGGTAATAACTAAACGTTAAATGCCGGGGTATATATATGAAACAATGAGCACTAAATTAAACCAATTATGCGCAGGAATAACTGGTTCTTCTGTTGCGAGTCTTATAGTTTAAGACCCCGGAGCATCTAAATAATAAAACATATAACAGATCGATCCCATGGCAAAAATAAATGATGTATTATGAGAAATATCGACGATGAATGGAACATATTTCAAGTGAAAAAGTGAATCATTTCTCGATTTGATATTGCAGATTTATTCGGTTTTTATCGATAGACCACACGCGGATTTCTCCTCGCAATCGACCAATAACAATACCTTCTTAATTTAACTAGAACAGTTAAATTAACGCAAAAAGTCGGTTGAACTTTCTATTACCGAACATGCGTTTTGTGGTTTTATAAATCGGTTTGGGGCGGAACCCGTTTTAAATACCGGTAGCTCCGTTTTATGGGCCTTAAACCCGCCGAGGCGTCGTCTAATTATAATTATGATAATTAGATTTATGTAGGTAAATATTTCGAATTTCTATATCGGCAACCTTTCGGAATTAGAGACGTTAAAATTATGTAACAATTCCGAGAGCAGCGAATTCTGAATCGAGTTTTTTAAATAAATCCGAAGGTTATAGTTGGACGAGATTTCCGCGAATTTAGCTCGCACACATTATCTAGCCTAGACTAATAAAACTAAGTTAACAAACACGAACGTTAAGGAAAAATCGCAACGGGCATAATTCACGATAATTCCACGCCGCTAAAACCAGTTTGAGAGCCTCCTCATATCGCGGTAATCTCTCGCGAGATTTTCCCCTCGAAATAATCGCTGAAAATTACGGTCTGGTATAATAAAGGTACTCGAGGACCACGCCTCAGTACTCTTCTGTATATCTCGCGTC